TTCTTCTGATGCATCTGCAACTGACCTGCAGATTTTATTTTGTCCTTTTTGCAGACTGGAAGTGTCTCCAGAGGCTCAACCCACAGCCAGGCTTCCTTCTTCCCCTGACTCTCCTCTCTTTTTTTCCGCTCTTCTTTCCAGTTCTGGCCAGACACCTGTCCTTTCTAAATCGGGTCATGGCTCAGAGACACTGTCCTCTGAATCTCCTTCTGTCTTCTTCTCTTTCTCATCTCCCGTAGCGGCCCCCATTTCCACATCCACGCCGGTTGAAAACTGGCCTTCCACAGACAAGGGCCAGGCCGGTCCTGAAGAACCATCCTTACTCCTTAAAGCAGAATTGCAAAAGGAGAGTTTAACACAAGTTCCAAAGACTGTTTCTTGTGCCTCGGGGTCACTTTCTAAACAGCTACCCACTCCAGTGAGGAAAGGGCCAGAAGATTCTCCGAGGAAGACCAGTGAGGTAGGCCCAGAGAACACCGTCAGTAATGACTCAGCAAAGTCTCTCCTGAAGCAGCCTGAGACCGAGCCACAAGAAGTTCTGAGGTTGCCCCCCTCAGAACAAGCCTCTGTCCCTTCATCTCAAGGGACCCAAGAAATGACATTCGCCCTTTCATCCCCAAGTGGCGAGATTGAAAGCCCAGCTGGGAAGCCTCCGATGGGGGAAGACACAGATGTCACAAGTCCATGTGGGTCTTGTGGGGAGAACAGAGTGAAGGACAGCAGAACGGCTTCTGCGGTTCCAGAAGCAGTGTCCCCTCTTCAGATGGCAGAATCATCCCCCACTCTTGGCTCTGTGATGCAGACGCACGAGGAGAATGTCCATGAGGGCCAAAAGAAAATCAAGAAGCGGGTGTCATTTTCTGAGCAGCTCTTTACGGAGGAGGAGTTAGAGAAGTCCCCCGGATCAGAGGAGGAGGACGAAGGGAACCCCCAGGAGCCGCCACGGGAAGGAGCCACGGCTGGAAATGGGTCAGATGGGGAGCCTGCCGGGTCTGTCCACACAGAGGACTCCAAGAGGGAAGCGGCCAGTCAGGGTGCGCTAGCTTCCACGGCCGATCCCCTTGCCCTCCCCTGCGAGGAGAGTTTCTCAGAAGGCCCCGTGAGTGAAGCAAGCTCGGGGCAAGACCTTCCCCTCTGTGGGGTCGAGGGAGACCATCTGCTTATGGCCGAGAATCAGAGCAAAGCCAGTGATCACGAAGGCTTATTGTCCGACCCCCTGGGCGGCCTTCCCTCTGCCCCAGGTGTTAGCTCTCCAGTCCTGGCTGACCTGGGCTTAACCCTTCCTTCCATCCCCGAAGTGGCATCGGATGACGAAAGAGTGGATCAGGTTGAAGATGACGGAGATGGAGAGATGGCCCAGGTGGCAGCCCCGGAAGCCGGGCCTTCTTCCTTGAGCGCGTCACCTGCCCGTCCTGAGATGGGAAAGGGGCCCAGAGGCCAGGCGGTTGTGTGGGCGGTGCCCACCGAGAGCCTGCACGACCCCCAGTCGAAGGCACCCAAAGCATCCGTTACAGCTTCTTCTTCGGACCACGGCTTCCCGACCACAGCTTTGGGAATTCATAAACCAGATCGTGGCAAGAGTTCACGCTCGGATAAACAGCGGTCAGGTCCTGGCGGTGGCGAGAAGGAAGAGTTGCCGGGAAATGGGGGGCCAAGCCAGCGTCCTGAAGTGGCCCTGGATTCTCCTGTACCCAGCCCCTCCTTTTCTGAGACCTTTCCTGTTCCGCACTCTTTTCCTAGCTACCCACACGCTGACACGCACCACACCAGTACAGCAGAATCTCAAAAAAAAGCAACAGCAGAGGGCCCTGCTGGTAAGGTGGACAATTCTGGCAAGAGGAAGCCGCTTCTTCAGGCCTGGGTCTCACCCTCAGAGACACATACAGTCTCAGCTCAGCCGAGCACGGGAACGGGGTCAGCCAAGCACAGGTGAGAGTCGGGAAAGGTTGTTTCGACGTGAGCGATGTCCCCCACCCTGCCCACCCTGCCCTTTGCTTTTTGCCTGCCGAGGTTCTGGCTTTCTAACCGCACAGATATCTTGATGGTACATACTGTGCATTTGGCTGGTAGGGGCTGTTTTCAAAGGGTCTCCCCCTGTGGTGGGAATCCCTCCCCTAGACACTCCTACGTTTGTAAGGAGGACATAGTGACAGGCTTCAAAGCCAGTTTTGGAATAATTCAGCATAGTCAGATTTGGGGCTCTCAGATTGCAGAGATGTCTCGTGACCAGCATCTTCCTAGTGTCAGAAGCCAACGGAGACAGAGTGGTGGAACCTAGCAGGGTTGAAAGCTTGCGTTAAGCACCGGCCGATGTGAAGCGAGCGTATTTGTTCTGAACTCTTCCTTTACTGTTGAGGAGCAGCAGGCTCTGTAGGGACTCACACGGTGCAATCTGAGGCTGTCGTTGTCTCAAAAGTAAGAGACCGTCTCTAATGTTCTTCTGACAGTGATCAGGAGACCAAGGGTCTCGCGAGAATGTCAGGACCCCTGGCTGTCAGGTGGGTGGGTTTTGTTGACCCTGTGGCTGCCTTGTGCTGACTGCTTTCACTTCCACAGGAACATTGGCGTGTGTTGGACTGGGGGTGTGAACACAATGTATCACCACTCTGTCCCCTTGTCTGTCTTGCTGACTGCCATCTGTGAGATGGACAGTTTCTCAGTTTTGTCATTACAGAAAGGTCTAAGGATCCTATCCCCTTCTCTTTAGACTTCATCCCGTGAAGCCAATGAACGCAGCAGCCCCCAAGATTGTTAATTCCAGCTTGGGCACTGCCACCATCATCAGTGAGAACATGATCAACGAAGCCATGATGAAGGTATGCTTTCTCCAAGAAATAGGCATGCTAGGGGTGCCTGGGTGGCTCCTTCGGTTAAGCGCCCGACTTCAGCTCAGGTCATGATCTCACTCTCCGTGAGTTCAAGCCCCGCATTGGGCTCCGTGCTGACAGCTCAGCTCAGAGCCAGGAGCCTGCTTCCAATTCTGTGTCTGCCTCTCTCTGTTCCTCTCCTGCTCATACTCTGTCTCTCTCTCTCTCTCTCAAAAATAAACATTAAAAAAAAAATTAAAAAAAAAAAAAAGAAATAGACATGCTAGTTAGGGATCTATACAAAACCCATTTCTAGAGCCACCATTATGTACACCTCCTTGGGTAGCAGGTAACGCCAGGAGCAATTTAACCTTATGTTTGTGTCTTTGGATAATCTTTGGGAGCTTCTACACTTTCCACTAGATAATTACTATTCCCCTTATGGTTACTGACTTATTGGCAGATTGTTTGTTGTCCCCAAGCAACGTGATTGATACTGTTACTTCTTGTCAGTAAGAAGAAAATGTCACCCACCATCTGGTCCATTCAAATTCGATATTTTCATTTCCCCGTGTATCTTTTCTTATCTTTTGGCACGAATGTAAAATTCCTGGGGTTGTAATCATGGCATAGATATAATTTTCTGAAACTTTATTCTGCAGTCATTTCAAAATTAAAAGTTGCAAGAATAGAACAAAGAACTCCTATATACCTTTCATCCCAATTCACCAATTGTTGACATCTTACCACAGTGGTTTTATCATTGCCACCCTCTCTCTCCCCATCCCTGTCTGTTCTGTCTTTGTATATACATACTTTTTTTTTCTTCTAAACCGCTGGAGGGTAAGTTGCCTACCTCATGTCCCTTTTACCTCTAAAATACCTAAGCATGTGATTCCTAAGAATAAGGATATTTAATCAGGATCACGACTTTTAAAATTGGCGTAATCCTCTTTTCTCATCTCTAGCCCAAATTTCAGGTCCACCCGTTGTCTCATTAGTGTGCTCCTTCGTTTTTCTGTCTTTCTTTCTAGTCCGGGATCCAATCCAGGATCTCTCGCTCTTACGTTGCTGTGTCTCTTTAGACTCTTTTATCCTGGATCCCTCAGCCTTCTTTGTCTTTCAAGACCTTGACATTTTCTAAGACTTCAGATCAGTTGTTTTGTAGAGTTCTCCTCAGTTTGGATTTGTCTGCTCAAAACCTCATGGTTTGGTTGAGGTTATGCATTCTTGGCAGGAATTAACCATGCAAGTCATGTGTCCCTTCCCGGTGCATCGTGTAAAGAGGCACATGGTTTCAGCTTGTCCTGGTAGTGGGAGTGTTAACTCTGATGACTTTCTGTAGGTGGTGCCCACCAGCGTCTCTAGGATAACATTGCTATTTATCCCCTTTACAATCAATAAGAATTTGTGGGGAATTAATTTCAGACTCTGTAGGTATCCTGCTCCTCACCAACCTTTCATTCTCAGGCTTTTGTATCCACTGATGAATACATCAGTGGCCAAATTGGTGGTTTTCCAGCCCCATTGCCTGCATGGAGACACTGGTTCTCTTATTCATTTGGTGGTTTATCTAGTATACCATAAGCATTTTTGTATGTTGCTACTTAATTCTTTGAAATGGTTATATCAATATTTACTTAACCTGTTCCCCTATTATTGGATATTTGGGCTGTTGTCTGTTTTTCAGTGTGAATGCTGTCATAGTCAATAATTTCTCGCATAGAACTCTTTCCCTTCTTAAGCTAAATCTCCAGGAAGAATATTGCTTGATTAGAGGGTCTCTTCTCTTTAAAAAGCTTGGGCTAACTTTAAAACAACAACTCCTGCCCACAAATCAAACAAAACCAACCCCTCCCTTCCCCCCCCCCCGAGCCCCAGATGATCTCTGCTATAGAGTGTCTCCATTCTGCCCTTTCTGGTTCAAAAATCAGGAGGATTTAGAACATTGCCTTGTTGCAGACCTCTGGTCTTTGACTCATTGTCACGTGGGCTGGAGGAGAATGATTTACTGAGGGACTGGTGGGCAAGGATGTGTTGCATTTCAAATATGTGGAGAGGAATTTCCTAACTGACTCCTGGGGTGGTCACTGTCAGTAGAAATGAACCTTATTTCTATTTTAGTTTAGGGCATCTAGAAATTGCATTCAATCAGAGATCTTACAGTCTTGTGCAGTGTAAGACATCAAGTAGCTTTTCTGTTTTTATTTTTTATTGTTTAGTTTATGTTTTAAAGTTTATTTATTTTGACGGGGGGGGGGGGGTGGAGCACGAGCAGGGCAGAGAGAGTCAGAGAGAGACAAAGAGAGAGAGAGAGACTGAGAATCCCAAGCAGGCTCCATGCTGTCCACGCAGAGCCTGATGCAGGGCTGAATCCCATCAACTGAGATCCTGACCTGAGCCCTAATCAAGAGTCGGACGCCCAACTGACTGAGCCACCCAGGCACCCCAGTTTTTGTGTTTTTATTCTTTTTTTTTAAGTTTATTTATTTTGAGAGAGAGAGAGCGAGTGGGAGGGGCAGAGAGAGAACCCCAAGTAGGCACCACACTGTTAGTGCAGAGCCTGATGCGGGGCTCGCACTCACTGAACTTGGAGGTCATGACCTGAGTTGAAACCAGGAGTTGGACGCTTAACCAGCTGAGCCACCCAGGCGCCCCAGTTTTTGTGTTTTTAAAATAAAAACTTTTCGCTCATGCCTCCTTTACTCCTGCAAGCATTTTTAAAGCATTGGTTAGTCGGTATTACCTCTGGCTCCATTGCACCTCTGCCACCAGGAGCTGGGCTAAAGGGTCCCTGAGATCAGAGATTCAGGTAAAGAGGCTGAGCGGTGATGACAGATGGTTGCTGCGAGCTGTTTAGCATCTTCCAGCCGCCTCGCCTTCTCTTTTGCTTGTACTACATGCTTCCAGGGCCGCCGGTAAGTAAGCATCATTCTCAGAATGATCAGCTGTGGCCAGTACGGTGTGCCTGCTGTGTTTTAGCCATAGCCTAAAACCACACCATAACTCGACCAACGCAGCTTGGCTGGTTTCTGTGGGTGTGGAGAGGAGGCTGAGTTTATCTTCCTGGAGTTAACGATATTTACCAGGAAACCGGGCAAAAGGACAGCATAAAAGGGACAGTAATGAAAACCAGGGTCGTGGAGCAGCCTCCCATCCCTCCTTCCTTTTACTGTGGAATGCAGCTGGGCTCCAAAGAGAAACAAACACCTAGCTGTCGGGAAGTGAGCAAGACCCTTGGCTCCCATTTTATTTATTCTTCAAAGCTCATGTAATCAGGGGCTTATCTCCTGGCCCTGATTGAGAGAATAACTTGCCTTACAACAAAGGCAACTGCTGCTTATTTTGCTTACGGTTTGTCCGCCCCACCGCTGCCCCTCTGGCTGACTGCAACAAAGCGCTTGGTCCTGGACCATGCCTCGTAAATATTCTGAGTAAATATGGAAAGTTTCCTGGAGACTGCTATTGGCCCTCTGTATAATAGATGCTTTGTACTAAGCCGTAAATAATATTTATAAAAGTAACTATTCTTTGGAATGTTGCAAAGTAAGACAGAGGTTAGGGAAAGAAATTGCATAGCTAAAGTTATGAAAAGATAGCTGAAGCATTGCTACAATGGCTTTTTTTGGGAGGCGGGTTCCTGTTTTAGGGCCTCCCTTCTTTCTAGATGATTTAAAACTTAGTGTATTATTTACCCAAGTGGCTTTAACACTTCCATTTAAAAATAATACAGCCACCCAGGGGCGCCTGGGTGGCTCAGTCGTTTGGGCAGCTGACTACAGCTCAGGTCATGGTCTCGCGGTTGGTGAGTTCAAGCCCCACATCGGGCTCTGTGCTGACAGCTCAGAGCTGGAGGCTGCTTCTGATTCTGTGTCTCCCTCTCTCTCTGCCCCTTCCCTGCTTGCTGCTCTCTGTCTCTCTCAAAAATAACAAACATTAAAAAAAAAATTTAAAAATAGTACCACCACCTAGATCCAAAAATCATCTGTCCTATTAATATGGAAACAGTTGGACCCAAATTTGAATAGACATTATTATTATTATTATTATTATTATTACAACTATGGGAGGGGGAGTCCAATGCAAAAATCCTGGAAGGAAATATGTGACAAGGAATTAACAGATATTTTCTTTGTACCTCTTCCTCACCATGGCTGTTGCTCACTTTTTGTAATGCTGGATTGTTTTGCGGTTTTTTAAATGATCACATGTCTAGGATCGTGTAATGATTTCAAAGTCTTACATTCTTTCCCCTTTGGATTATGAAATCAAATTGAATCGCTGTTTCACAGTTTGTAAGGTATGAAGTATGCATGCTCTTTCAATCCTCTGCATCTATTGTAAGGAAATATTTTAGAGATATGATCAAAGATTTCTGCTCAGGCATTTTAATAAAAACTGTTATGTATAATTTTGAAAACAACCTAAATATCCAGCAATAGAGAGATGGGTAAAGTATAATGAAATTTTAGGCATCTGTTAAAAAACGTGATTTTTGCCAAAATTTAATGATGGGAAAATGCTCACAAAACAATAATTTTAAAATGCTTTTAAGCCATATTCTGCGTGATGCTTAAAGTTTGAAAATATACCATAAAGAAACCAAGGAAACAATAGGAGACCCAAATGTTAAGTGTTGGAGTTACAGGCAATAATTTTTTCCCTCTTCTGTAGTTGAGATTTTCCATTATGAGGGAATATTCCCTTTAAAGTGCAAAACAGAATTCTGTTATTTTGGGGGGGAAATCAATTTTAATCCATGCCCAAAGTCTAGTTGACTCATCACTCCCATCTCTGAAGTTTGTCGTGATCTCTTGTGTGACAGTGGGCGCTTGGTTGTCCAGCTCTCTGGACTCTGAGCCTCTGAGCCCCTGCGCATACCTGGTCCCTACTCTCGAGGAATCCCTGCCTGTCCCTCCCTCCAGGTGACAGCTTCTTCATGTTTCTATCTCACAAACTGTCTTACAGAGAGTATCTTATGTGATCCACATTTTTTAATAAAATCCTTACATGACAGAGTTATGATCTAAAAACCCTTGAGAACATATTCTTCGCTATTGTTTCCAAAGAGTACTTTTTTTCTTGATAGGATGTATCAATAGACGTGCAACTAGTTTTTTAAAAATTGTGGTAGAGACACCTGGGTGGCTCAATCAGTTGAGTGTCTGACCTTGGCTCAGGTCATGATCTCACAGTTCATGAGTTCGAGCCCCGCGTCAGGCTTGCTTCTGTTAGCGCAGAACCGACTTCGGATCCTCTGTCCCTCTCGCTCTCTGCACTGCACCACCCCTACCTCCCCCCCCCACCCCCCGTGCTCTCTCTCTCTCCCTCTCAAAAATAAATAAACATTAAAAAAAATTGTGGTAGGGGTGCCTGGGTGGCTCAGTCGGTTAAGCGTCCGACTTCAGCTCCGGTCATGATCTCACGGTTCATGAATTCCAGCCCCACTGCAGGCTCTGTGCTGGGAGCTCAGAGCCTGGAACCTGCTTCAGATTCTGTATCTCCCTCTCTCTCTGCTCCTCCCTTGCTCATGCTGTGTCTCTCTCTGTCTCAAAAATAAATAAAAACATTAAAGAAAATTGTGGTAAAATAAACATAAAACTTACCATCTTAAGCATTTAAAATTTTTTAAAATTATTTTTTAAAATTCAAGTGTAATTGGCATTTAGTATTATATTAGTTTCAGGTGTACAGTTTAATGATTCATCAATTCCATACATTAGTCGCTGCTCATTATGATGTATTCTTAATCCCTTTTGCCTGTTTCAGCCATACTCCCACCTACGCCCCCTCTGGTAACCACTAGTTCTCTATATTTCAGAGTCTGAGGGTTTTTGTCTCTTTTTTTTCTTTCTTTGTTTTGTTTCTTAAATTCCATATGTGAGTGAAATCATATGGTATTTGTCTTTCTGTGACTTATTTTGCTTAACATTATACTCTCTAGATCCGTCCATGTTGTTGCAAATGGTAAGGTTTTGTTCTTTTTTTGTGGCTGAATAACATTCCATTGTATATATTACCACATTTTTTTTTTTAACCCATTTATCTATTGAGGACACTTGGGCTGCTTCCATGGTTTGGCTCTTGTAAACTATGCTGCAGTAAACATGGGGGTGTGTATATCTTTTTGAATTAGTGTTTTTGTTTTCTTTGGGTGAATACCTAGTAGTGGAATTACCGGATCAGTTCTATTTTTAATTTTTAAAGGCACCTCCATACCATTTTCCACAGTGGCTGCACCAGTTTGCATTCCCACCACAGTGTACGAGAGATTTTAAGCACCTTTAAGCATACAGATCGGTAGGGTTAAGTATAGTCACATTGTATAGCCAGTCTCCAGAATTCTTTTCCAGGCATGCAACTTTCTGGCTGAAGGTTGTTTTAGAATTACAAATAGAGCGATTGAGGTCTAGAGGGATGTATGCCTTCAACAAGGTAAAAAACAAAAACAACAGAAAGATTAAGGGAGAAGTTGTTTTTTGAAAAGTAGTCCAACATCTCACCTGTTTCTGTGCAGCCTGTGGCAGGTGAAAACCTGCTCTGCGGATGGAAATGTTGGTGTGGGCTTCTAAGCCAGTCGTACAAGCACTGTGCTTCCCTTCTGAGCCAGGGTGGGAGAGGTGGCCTATCTCTCTGATTTCTGGCTAGTGTGTAGGCAGCTTATGTCACGGGACTGAACAGGGCCGTCTATGTGTTTTTGTCAAAGAGTGAATGATGATTCTTCTTATTTCTTTATTATAATATATCATAAATAAATATGTTTGTTTGTTTATTTTGAGGGGGAGAGAGAGTGGGCAGGGAAGGGGCAGGGAGGTGGGGGAAAAAAGAGGATCCCAAGCAGGCTCTGTGCTGCCAGTGCAGAACCTGATACGGGGCTCGAACCCTTGAACCATGAGATCATGACCTGAGCCTTGGTCATGACCCGACCAAGAGTCGGACGCTTAACCAACTGAGCCACCCAGGTTCCCCATGAGGATTCTCTTGACTTAGCTTCTTGTAGAAGCTGGTCTCTTAGCCTTCTAAGCGAAATTGTTTGACCCTCAGGGTGGTGAAACTGATTGCCTCCGAGTTCTGCAGGCAAAAGTGTCTTGAGGTGGCTCTAGGAATTTGTTTCTTTAAACTTCTAAATCCCCTGAACTACAAATTTCAGGAAAAGTTGCATCCCCCCCTCCGCCCCCTCCCCCACACAACTGGAGACTTGGTATGATTAGGTGCTTTTTATTCAGTCCTTACCTAGTGTTTCCTCACCGTTTGGGCCTGGTCACTTTACAGGTGGACATCAGTCATCCCAGGTGTTCACAGACCTCCTGTTACTACATTGAATAACAGACAACAAAGGCCCTATGTGGCCTGGAAGGCCTAAAATATTCACTGTCTGGTCCTTTACAGAAAACTTTGTCAATAACTGCTTTTCCACCAGAACGGAAAACACATTCCCAGGAGGCTCAGACGGCTAACATTTTCCTCTTTTGTATTTCTTTTAGATATTTGACTTCTTTGCTGACTTTACCACTTTTTCTCCCCCTCTCTCCTCCCCCTAAAGAAATACAACCCATCGGACCCTGCCTTCGCTTATGCACAGCTAACCCACGATGAGCTGATCCAGCTGGTCCTCAAACAGAAGGAGACGATAAGCAAGAAGGAGTTTCAGGTCCGCGAGCTGGAAGACTACATTGACAACCTGCTAGTCAGGGTCATGGAGGAGACCCCCAACATCCTCCGGATTCCCACTCAGGTCGGCAAAAAGGCAGGAAAGATGTGAATCGTCAGCCTGCGACACCGAGACTTCTTTGTGAGTTTGTTTCCACCTGCCCCGGAGGTCAAGGACTCAGCATGCTTGATAACCGGCACACAGGCTCGAAATCACCATCTATCTCCCTTGTGTGTTATCTGGCAAGAGTCCGTTCTACCAGTTGAGACCAGGTTAATTATTACAATGAATCTTTTACTGTACAGTCCCAGGGTTTTGTTTTTAAATGCCACCGTGCCTTTGACTATCCTGTAAATATTTTATGCTCTGATCGGAAACATGGTCATAAGGTCTGCTCCTGGCCCAGAGATTCAGATGGCGCAGGGCATATTCATGTATTTAACATTGGGATGATTTTCTTTCTTTGGTATTGAAATTTAAAGATACGTACCCCTTCCTCCCCCAGTCAGTAAAGCGTGGGGCGAAATGAGAAGGACCGAAATGAGAAGGACCGTCTGGTTGGTGTTGCGTTACATACACTTGCTTGGCTTTTGAGTAGCTCAGGGTGGCTTTTGGCTGCGGGTGCTAAATTCTGATACCGTGTGAACCTTCTGGGCTTCTTCGACTTGGTCTTGTTGATTTGACTGGAGCAGGGGAGTTTAAAGAAAGCCCCTGAGTGTGCCTTGCAGATTTTGAACAAGCTGCCTTTTCTAAACGTTGCTACCACTACTCTCTAGCCTTAAAATGTGCTCTTTATCAATCCTTAGGGCGTGTCTGTAGAGACATGAGAAGTTGAATAGGGAATTAGAGAATCATTTTGCACTCACTTAATGGGGTTGGTCAAAGTCTCATGATAGCCGGGTTCCTAGCTGGCTAGAGTAGCCTAGTCGGTGCCTTGATAAGGGATTGGATGACCCATACACTCACTAAAATGGTTCTGCCAGGTACGGAATGATTTTAGTAGGATTCCTTTGGCTTTGCTTGGCCCCCGGATTTCCTCAGCAGCATTTCCCGGCGTTTCCCCCACCGTATTATAAAATTATGAAGAGCAAGAAGGTAACACTGAGTTTTGATTTGCTGTATTTTTAAATCTAGGAGGATACCCTTTTTTTTTTTTTTTTTTTAAAGCTAGGACACGTCTTCACTAATAGCACCCAGTTCCGATCCTTCAGGTAGTTTCATTGTCCGGAACCTAATACTGGAATTAGAATATTTCTGCGTTGGTCAGTTTTTTCTCGTGGTTGTGACAGGATCTGATCAAATCTTTACCTCTGTCCCGGGGGAAGAATATCCGAGGCTAGTCCGAGGCTAGCGTGGTGGGCGGGGCTTGAGGATTGGCTAGGGATCGCTTCTCTGTCTGTCCTTGTTATATGGAGGTTAAGAGGCAAGATGGTTGTCAGCAGAGGCCCTTTTCAGGATCACATTTGCTGCAATGTTAGTTATATCGGAGCACTTTAATCTGAAGGATGATACTGTAACTTGATTTATCGAATTAGCTGTTAATTATCTTTAGCTATTTTATTTAATACTGTCTTACAGTAGTGGAGACCACTGTAAGCCTCTCAGATGCCTTGTATTTTTGGAGTGCTATGAAAGTTATTTACATACCTGCAAAAAGAACCTTATATTCCACTTGAACTCTGAAAATGTGCGTGTATATATTTATTCTGCAATATATTTTTTACTTATAAGTGTATTTTGACTGTGATAACCCAAGTGTGCTGGGGGCAGGTGTGGTCTGAATGATTTCTCCTTAGTAGGGCTGGTGTGGAGACCTGTTCACAAGAGGTGGTTGGTCTGGAGATAATCTGCTTCTAGGACCTTGGGCACGTAACTAACTCGGTCAGTGTTTGAGAGGGAAGTCTGGGTAGAGGAGTTAATTCCTGTGCTCTGAAATGCCACTTGAGAACTCCGGAGAATGAAGGACAATTTACTTCAAGGGTGTCTGGCTTCTACCACTGCTGGAAAAAAACCCGAATTCATAGCATTCCTGCACCTCTCAGTGTAGATCACCTGGAGGTCATTAGTTAACGACTGTCCGACTGTCCTCGAGGACTCTTGACTCTGGGGGAGAATTTATCTAGGAAGAATTTTAGTCTGCTCTGAGCCATTAGCAAGGGTTGGAGCTCCTCTAACTGGCGGGGGTTGGGGGGGCACACACCCAAGTACACAAAGAGAGCTGGGACCCGCCTCTGGCTGCTGTAAATGCTAACCCAGTTGAAGGACCCTGGGAGGAAGCTGTGTTCTGGAGAAGCTGGAGCAGCTCTCCTCTTCCTGGCCTTGCCCGGCTGCCTTCAGAAAGAGCAGTCAGGACTTTAGGGAAGCATCCGATTAAATACCAAACACCTTGCAGTGAACTTCAGTTGGAGGTCAGACTCCTGAAAAAAATGTCAGTCCTTTGCCCAACTACTTGCTGTCCATCTCATTGGACTTTGACAGGTTTCTTGCCCTACGTCTTATTCCTGTGTGTTAGCCACATCGGGGTGGCAGAACGGAGGAGCAAGAAAGTCTGCCCTTTGCCTCTGCTGAGTGGAGAGGTGTGTGCATGGATGGGGTGTATGCATGCCGTTTCCAGCTTTGCCCACAGCGGGCGGCGCTCAGAAGGTCAGAGAGGAGGGATGATCCTCGCCGCTCAGCCGCATACTGTGTTGAAGTCCAGAGGCAACTTAATGTTAAATTAGGATCTTCCCTCCCTGGGTCCTTTTTCCCAATTGACCTTTCTGTTTTCTTTCTGAGAACTACTAATGAATTATCCCTCAAGGCCGAAAGAGTCATTGCCTTAGGTGGAGAACTTAACCTCCTACTAGTCACATCAACGGCAACTCTGGTTTCTCAGTATCTACTATGGGAGCCACTGACGTGACCTCTTCCTCCCTCCGATTGCAGGATTGCCCAGCATTTTTGGATTGTAAAACTATTCCCTGCCTTGTTACTTCGGGAATTTTTAACTTCTTTGGTTTCGTTTTTAACAAGTAACCTAAAATTTCTATAACACTAAATAAAATGGTACTACCTTTCAAAGATTTGTGTCTGTACTTTTGTGTGGGTGCAGCAAAATGTCTTCCGTCTTCTAGAAAACTTCTCTTGGGGAATGACCAGTGTTTCTCACCCCATGAAGGGTCTCTCACCTGGATTCCTGCTGCTTCCACCTTGCCTGGTGCCCAGAGGTCCCAATGCCCTTTCTCCCACAGAGGATGGGACATCTCTGATCCCTTCCCTACGACACGTCCCTCAATCTTGGCCTGCAGGGACCGTGGCATTTACCAGAAGGACATCATTTGAATTTTCTGTTCCTGCTACTAAAAGCTGCCGCCTGTTCCTCAGCACCGGGCACTTTTGGCTGAGTGTATGAGCAAGGTCCCTTCCTTGATCCCTCCACCCCAATCCCCCACCAGTTTCCTAGAGAGTGAAAGGTTCACTGTGGGGATGTGATTTGAATTCATATTGTGTTCACACTGCCCAAGATCTGGGAGCCAAATCCCTGGTTCAGTCAACTTGTTTTTTCCATTCCTGAATAGAGGGTACTGGGGAAGCACAGGGAATCTTCTCCTGAGCTCAGCTCTCCTGGAAGTCTGAGCCTTTCCTGATGAGGTGAGAGGTCGGCCTGCCTCCCAACCATAGTCCATGCTCCAAGGGCCCCGACCTCTTGAAAGGGAGGAGATGCTTTTTCTTGCCCTGTGATAAAAGTCACACTGTAGAGGGACAGAGGTGGGCCTGCTACAGGTACTGCCCTGTGAAGCCCCTCTGGGTGGGATGGGGCGGGCGCCCCTGAAGGCCTCCCTGGTAACCGCAACTAGTTGTCAGTGGTGGGGGCCGCCATGTAAAGTGATATGAAAGCAACTTCTCTTAAAACACAGCCCTCCAGGTTCAATTTAAGAAAAACAAAAGGAAACAAAACCCTCTGGAAGGAAGAGTCTTAGGGAAAGAAAGTTTCTTTATGCAAATGACCCTAACTTTTCCCTCTGAGGTCCTTCACTTTTTGTTTTGCAGTTGG